TAATGACACCCCCCTCTTCTGAAGTGGTGCACGATGGGTTGGACCATGGGGTTGATATTGCGGACAAATCAAGCATCCCTGACAGTATGTCTTAACATCCCTTAACATGTGTGGCCAATATGCATAATCACGCAATATCTCATATGTGATCTTATCACCACGATGCCCAGATGTAGGTGCATCATGTGCGTGTTGGAGCATTAACCCTCTGTATACAGTTGGGACTACCCATTGTTGTATACCATGTTTAGAAGTTCTGACCAGTAACCCATCCATGATACTAAATTGGACTTTATATCTCATCAAGATTCGTAAATCTTCATTATCTTTGCAATCCTCATCTGTGATGGGATTGGCAGTAGGGTCTTCTATATGTCTATAGAATATGCCTATGACGGGATCATTCTTTTGACTAGTAATCAGGTCCTCACTAGGAGCTTCTTGACTCCATTGCACGACATTTAAGTCGGCATTATCTCTAGCCTGTCGTCTAGTTATGGCTTCAACATGAATTGAACCCATAAGATCATCAATGTTTAGGGTTTCACCATTGATGGCAGCTTGTTTTGCCAGTGAATCAGCTAAGTCATTACCATCCTTGTCAATACCTTCTATTTTAGAATGGCCTTTGGTTTTCTTCCAATATATGGATAAACCATTTACCTTAACCAGTTCATCGATTTTGCAAAACAATTTCCCATGTTTAATAGGTTTGTTATTGCTTTTCAGCATTTGGTTACGTTTCCAGCTAGGCAGATATTCGACGAAACTGTTGCGAACATAGTTAGAATCAGTTATAATAACAAATTCTTTGATACCATATTCTATTGCCATTTGAATGGTCTTATATACTGCACAGAGTTCGGCTATCTGACTGCTTTTGGGACCAATATTGTATCCTATAAATACATCAGGATAATCACCTATCCAGGCGATTCCGATACCTGCAACTAACTTCCGTTCAGCACCAACTACGTGGTGATATGAACAACCATCAATGTATACCCACGGTAGTGGTCGACAGTATTCCTCGTCATAAACTTTATAAGGGGATAGCAGTTGCTCTTCTAGGAAGTCATCTCCGGTGTCATTATCATCCAGAGATGGGGCAGTACAGTCATGTAATTCTGCTAAACCTTGGGCAACTGGGCTTCTCTTATTATGTTTATAACGGACTTCTAACGGCCATCCCTGTAAGGATAGAGTCCATGCAGTAATCCGACTGTTAGAGAGATTACCGTCTCTAATTCTTTCACTCTGCAGATACTGTAGAGGTTGGTGAGCTGTTTCTACAATTATTTTCTCACCTTGGATATAGCTACGAAAATTTTGTAGTGCCCAGACAGTCGACAATAACGCCTTCTCACACGTGTTGAATTTAACTTCAACAGGTGACAAAGTCTTGCTAGCATATGCAATAACTTTGTTTAAACTGTCCTGCTTCTGATACAGAACAGCACTTATGCTTAAATCGGTATATCCTGTCTCCAGATAGAAGGGTTTACCCCCCTCTGGGTATGCTAAACAGGGTGCCTGAGTGAGCTTCCTCCTCAGTTCACTTACCGCTTGGTCCTGAGGCTCCCCCCAGTTCCAGGTAGTTTCCTTTTTAAGCAGGTGTAAGAGTGGTTTAGTTATTTCTGCATAGTTATCTATAAACTTACGGGAGTAGTTAGTCATACCAAGGAACGATCTTAATTCCCTGATGTTTGAAGGTGTTTTAGCCTTTAGTACGGCTTCAACCTTCTTCCTCTGGGGATTTAATCCTTCAGAAGTTACCTCATGTCCGAGGAAATTGACATGGGTGCGACACCATTGCGCCTTTTGTAAAGACAGTTTAATCCCTGCCTCTCTTAACTGAGTGAGAACATGTCTAATCTCTAAGATATGCTTATCAAAGGAAGTGCTTTTCAGCAAGACATCGTCGACATATGATAACGTTCCTCTCTCGAGTGCGTCAGGCATAGCTTTATGCATGAACACAGCGAATTCATGACCAGAGTTTATATAACCGAAAGGCATACGGGTCCAGGTATACTGCTGCTTTCCAAATGTGAAGGCCAATTTGTATTGGTCTTCATTATGGACTGGTACAGTCCAATATCCCTGCGCACAGTCAATGGCAGTGAATATTTTGGATCCCTGCATTTGTACCAAACATTGGTCTATGTATGGCGTTGGCCAACCAGACATATAGACGCGTTTATTTAGCTGTCGTAAGTCAGCGCATAAACGCCATTGTCCATTAGGTTTCAGAATCCCCAAGATTGGATTATTATACGAACTGTGCACCGGACGTATAATGCCCCTTTCCTTTAAATTCTGAAAGATGTCTTGTAGGCCATCATATGACGCTAATGGGAGTCTATATTGTTTGATAAATTCAGGTGGTAAATTTGGATCAGTTTGTATTCTGGCTACGTGGAGGTTAGTTAACCGTCAGCTAAAGATATTTGCTCTTCTAGCCTTTCCTGAAATCCTGGAAAGATTTAAGGCTGGCCTATCTCATAAGCTTCTTCAAGCCTAGAAGGTCAGTTCGGTGTTGACTTACCTTTTCTCTTTGGTCGTGATACTCTTGTGATTCCTGCTCATTGAGCGGATGATCGAAGGTGATAGATGCTTCTTCGATTTTACACGAGCCTTCTTCGAACGTTGAAGGGATATACAGATAGGATAGTGAATAATCCTTCTGGGGAGGAATGGAATATTTGATCGACAATTTCGTCCTCAGTTAAGTATTCTTCAGGGATGAGGCCTATAATTTGGTTTTGGAAACCAAATGTATAGTACTCAGCATCCAATGCTAGACCTAATAATGTTCCTTTTGGTAAAGTAACACTATTGGGTGTAACATTGTTGACCATGATATAGGTGGGATTCTTACCAATACTTACCATTGGTGTATGTGTTACCACCATCCCTAATTGTTGTATCCTGTTGGATAAACAGATTAGGGCATCAGAGTTTTCCAATCTCTGACCCTCCTTGACCTGTAGGGGTAAAAGAAAGTTACTTGTCCCTTGTGGAATGGTTATGTCATCAGGAACTTGGATACTTACCGCATATGGGAGTATTTGTCCTGATTTCAGGGCGTTTTCCTCGTGTAGGTATCCACAAGGATTACCTTTTAACCTTGTCCACAAGTTGGAATTAATCAGGTCAAGGTGTATGGCAAAGCGATGTATGACATCATTGCCAACGTAAACCTGATAGCGAGGTTCGTCTATCACTAGGAATAAATGTTTAACTGTTTTATTTCCGATGGAAATAGATAGTAAACATTTTGCTATCACATTGTGACTCTCTGATTCGCCATCCAGATTCTGGATCCACCTGTCATGTGGGGAAGCGTACCTGATCATTTTAGGATTAGCGATCTGCTTTAACAGACTTCTGCTAATATAGCTGTTCTCACTCTGTAAGTCCAGCTTTGCATTCCTACTTCTTCCTAAGTCATTTATTTGCATAGGAAAGAATAAGTTGTTATTAACCCTTTCAATTCTGGCAAGGAATTGAGCATGACCTGCCAGATCTACAGATTCAACATAGTCCCTGTGGAGAGAAATGGTTAAAACATCACCTTCCAGAGAGACATTCTGGATCCTCTCTGGAGCAATTCTTATGGAATGCTCATCTACAGGTGCGATTGCATCATTCACCTGCAGGATAGTCACGTCAGGTGACTGACTATTTCTAAAATGTACCTCAATCGAGTCAGGTCTTTCTTCTATCACATGGCAGTTACGATCAGATTGAACATGTGATTTCTCATAGGTTATGGGAACCTTAGCTTGTGACCATACAATTCCATTTACACAGTCAATAATTGTGTTAAGTCTTCTGAGTATGTCTATACCCAGAATCAGTCGGTCATAGGGGAGATCTACCACTATCACCGGGTGTCTAAAGGTTTTGTTACCTATTTTAAACTTTAACCAGGTATTGCCAATAACATGAAGGGCATTTCCTCCTACACTCAACAGAGCATTGGGGAAATCTCTTAGCTTCGGCTTATCCGTTGCTAAGTCCATTACCTGCTGGAAGTAGGTATTGGATAAGATAGTGGCTTGTGAACCAGTATCTATTAACCCTTTAAAAGGCTGGGGTAACGAATCCTGTATTTCTACAGACATGTAGTACCTTCCTTCATGTTCTTCTAATTCACATAAGAATTTAGAATGTGTCAACATATTACTTGTTTTCCATACATTACCGGTCACAGCAGTAGTTTCTACCTGTACTGAGGAATGCTCAGTCTTACCCACAGGCCCATCCCTTTCAGGAATATCTTGAACTATCAAGCGGGAACTAGTGGTCGGCATCTCATCAGTTAACCCTTTCAGGTCTGGATCCTGGAAACTAGTGGTTGCTGGGGCTACTTTAGCCTTTGGCTGAAATGAAAAAACAGAGGAACACGTTGCGCCTCCTTCACCCGGAAGTGAAGTGACGGGATAGGCAATAGGTTTTCCTAACACAACTATTGTTTATTTGACTGTTAGTACCTGGAAAGGAAACAGGGTTAGGCATTACATCTACTGATAACCTAGCCTGTTTAGTCACAGTGGCTATTATTGCTGCGGCACCTGTTGTTGTTGCTGCGGTTGCACAGGTAGTTCTGCAACTGGAGCTATCCCTAAAAAAGGATTTCTGGCAAAGACTTCGTTAATCTTTGTCATTCCCTCCATTAATTTGCCCATCTGGTCTGTCAATTGACCAACCTGACGACGCAAATTATTTCCCCCATTGCCGTTTTGTCTTTGCCCATTAGAATTTGGCTGGGATGGCTGAGACTGTTGGGAGTTATTGGAAGCAGATTGGTTATTTCTGTTTCCATATCTCCTATTTCCCTGAGGATTCCTTCTCCATTGGGAATTGCCTTGGTTCTTATTAACCCAGGGGCGTTTATTCCCATTGGTATTGGATTTTTCAGAGTTATTGGAGGAATTTGCAGAATTGCTTCTGGCATTTTCCTGTTTCTGAGGTCTTGGAGATTTCAAAACCTCGGAATAGGTCCTCCTTTTCTGTTGGGGTTCTAAACCTAACTGAATTTTAGTCTCTGACACCATTTTATCACCAGGTTTCTTAACCTTTGGCTGATTTTCGTCATGTGCATGGTGTATAGTGTACAATTTCATACACTGACTGACTAGCCATTCTAATGGCAACTTACAATCGTAATCTCTCGCGAGATTCATTTGTATGTTTACTGGCATGGCATGAAAATACAGATCTTTGAAGTCTGTGCTTTCATACCTGGGTTTCCTTTGGGCCACGGAGTATGCATTTTTCAGAATTATTAAAAATTCTCTGGGGCTTTGATCTGGACGGCACTTTAAGTTATAAAGCGCCCTCTTTGCAGAGGCAATAGTTTTATACTTACCATATTCCATGATTATTTCATATTTCATCTTGGACCAGGACATTAACTGTATAGCTTGAAGACTTTCTAGATAAACACGGCACATTGAATCAAAGGTCCATGTAATGAACCATTTCTTATGAATGTCATCATACATGCCCAATGAATTCATTGCTCTATCATAATTTTCCAGATGTTCAGATATGTTTCCTGAACCTCTAGAAAATTGTGGGACAGTCTCTCTAAGGAATTTGATGACCTTTGGTGTTTCATAAACAGGCGTCGTTGATTTACGATCTCTGTTTCTGTGTTTGGGTAAACGTCTATGTGATCTGTCTGCTGAAAAGGAATTAGACCCGTACAACAGTGCAGATGGCATATCAGTTACATGGCCTTCAGAGTGGATAGTGCAATCACTTTCACTCCCATCACTCTGAGCTTCTTGTTCACTGTCACAATTCTGATCAACATCAGAATCCTGCCAGTGTACAGAACCATGTCTGTTTTCATTCCTATCACCTTGAATTGGACTCTCCCTCTCAAGTTTGGCCAAGACAGCTTTTTCAAACTGTTCTGCCCAAGATTGCCAAGATGGCTTGGCAATGTCATGAGATGGGGAATCTTGTTCCACAGGTGATTTTTTAGAATTACTCACACCTTTACTTACAGACTGTTTTATGAAAACCTGGTTTGGTGTGGGAAAATCATAATAAGGAGGGGATTTACAAATAGTCTTTTCTTGCATTTTTGTGCAACTTTTTGGCACAGAATGATGACTACCAACCTCACTGTCTAATTTCTGACTCTCCTTTTCATACTCATCCAATTGCATTTTAAGCTGATTTATTTCCTGTGCATATTTATCCGTCAAAGCTTTCATTTCTTTTTCATGATCAGCCTGACGAGTTTTATGCTCAGCAAGTAAATCTTGGTATTTCCCATTTTGAATGCCCAAATCGTCACTGTACGTGTCCAATTTGGCATTCAGTGACTTGTTTTCATCACACACCTTAAGAAGTGCTGTCATAAAGAAAGGCCAAGAGTGTATTATGAACGCCATTTTCCTTTCTATGTTCTTTTGTTCAGAAATTTCTTTAAGATATATGATGATGTGTTCATCAGTTAGAATGGTGTATTTAGCTTCCCATTCTATGCTTTTCAACCAAACCTCATAGGTTGCATCATTTTTCATATGTTTATGAATATGAACTAGAGCATGTTTTCTTAGGTCTTCAATTATTTCAGTATTATCTGTTACAGATTTATCACTGCCACTGGCCATTTTTATTTTTATTTTATTGATTAATCTCAATACAAAACTCTTTTCTATATTAAGATTAAATTGCATGAATTACACCAATATTATTATTATATATGAAATACAATTTCAACTTAAACGATCTCAGCACCGTGCCTCCAATATGTGGGGATATTTATGGGATAATAATAGTAAACAGTTGAGAATTGCCCACTAATTCAATTCTCAGATCCCAAAGAACGTTTATCGTAAGTGAAAGTATTTCATATAATTAATATCACAATGTATAAAAATAGATTTTATTTATGATAACCAATAATTAACAAATAATATTATGTAACATGCATGACAATAATCAATGAATATCCAGTACAAAATTATATGCAATACAAAGAAATGGGTATTACGTTACAATGGCTAAATAGCATTTCCTGTCAAGAATTATTTATGACTATCTTTAACACAGGTTGAAAGTGAAACTTTTCACAGCGAAGAACAGAATTCCTCAGAGTGCAGCGTAAGGTCGTAAAGTTTAGCCGACAGTTAGAATAACCCTTTCAATGCTGGCTAGATCTCCTAGGTAGTTAAGATCTATTCTTATGTATTTTTAAATAAAATAACATTTAACCCAGTTCATTAGTCATTTTCTTAAAATCATCCAATAAGAGAATTTACCACATTATATAAGCAGATTTTTAATTTGTCTAAAAGATATCTATCTTAATTTAGAGCAAATCAATACACCTGGATAAAAACAGCGGTATGCTAACACGTGATAATATCACATCAATATATAATTATTCTTAATTCCACCTGCAGAATGGAATGTTTATAACTATATATTCTTAGTTAACTAAGATTTCTTAATATGGAAATCTGACCGTGCTTTATCCAGTCATATATAATGCTATTAATACATTTTAATTAATTTAATTTAATTAAATGAAACCAGTATAATTACCAGTTGAGTAGATATTTCATCCGATTGGTAGTCTCTCTGCATGGAGGTGTTGGTTAGAAAGTCAGTATATTCTAAGTGTTAGAGTTTTAGGAGTAGAGTGTTAGTCTCAGATGTTGTCCGAGTTGGAGTCCCCAAACTTCCAATTCCTCTCTCCTCTCCTTTGCATCTCTTGCATATCTTGCCTCCCTCTCTCGTATCTCCTCTTTCCTTTGTCTTAACTTTTAAAGGGCCAGACTCTCTGTACGTCATCAGTTGATAACCCAATAGAAGCACTAGAGGTGTGGTTATCTTCCAGATCGCAAATTAGTTATTTGGTCTGTAGAGGGCAGTCTTGTCCCACTAAACATACCAATCCAGGAAAGAGTTAACTTTTCCTGGTGGCTATTTTGACGTCATTTTGGCCTATCTAGATAGTGGCTATAACTTAAAATTTCAAAGGGTTTCTTAAATTTTGTCCAGACTTAGCGTCTGCAATTCCTGCCATAATTTCTGATATGACAGATCATGAACTAAGTTTACCCTTTTCCATACAATGGTACCTTATATGTATATAGACAGTTAAATTTTATTATTTAATCTTCTCTGTCACAATTGTCTGGGTTTAGATTTGATTATATTCCATTAGCATTTTAGACAGTCTATCCAACCCCCTTCCTTATCACTTGTTTGTATATACTATGCATTCCTCAGCTCTGGGAAAGTGGTTAGCTTACAGATAGAAATATAGTGTCTTTCTGTTAACTTGAAATAACAAAATGGAGTCTGGTCTGTTCAGAGTGACTCAGAATATACACTTTTAGTTTCTATCTTAGCACAAAATGTCTGCCGATATAAATACCCTGACAATACTAACAATAATATCCCAAAAAGGGAATATCAAGGTCCAAGAGCAGCCTTAAAACCTATCTAATTAAGACAAACAATAACAAAAACAAACTGGTCAAATATATTGCAGAGATATAGAAGATCAAAAAATTCCAATATTACATTAGGTAATATCAGATATGTGGTCAAGGAACCCGTATGATAGTGCCCGCTACGGTATTATCGGTTAGGCATAAGGTGGTCATAAAAAGTAACCCCACTGCCTCAAACTCATTAAAGCCCTTTAATTTTCTCAGCATGACTGGAATAAAACATCAGAATATTAAGATTGGAATATTCTCTCAAATGAATCAACCCATTTTCCATCTCAACTTGATATAAGAGTTGGGCTTTTACTTGATCTCTAGTAGGAATGTCAATGCTTTTCCAAAATATATATATATATTTTGGTAGCCATTAAGCAATGTATAATCCCAATATCTAGATTATCTTTTATTTCGAAACCCATAAGATGGAGTATTTTGTAAAAGTTGAGAAATCACCATGGAAATAATTGGAATTACTTTCGCCTATTGCTTTGATTTCAGAACTTCACGACTTTTCTCCGAGAGCCAATATTTTGTTAAATCTCCTTCAATGTATGAAAGACATGAGTATTGTAATATCTGTGTTTTTCCCATTGCAGAGAAGCATGGCACTTGAAGGAAGACAAAACAAGACAAGCAATTAAAGGCGTAATACAATGGGATATTGCTAACGATGATCAGGTCCCTGTCGATTTACCCCAAGCAGACTGTGTTCTCAGTCTATATCTGTTGCATGTTATCAGCAAAGACAAAGAAGCCTTTCAGAGTAACCTGAAAAAAATGACATCCAGACTTAAAATAGGGGGGAGCCTGTTACTATTTTTAGGCACAAATATTACATTTTATAAGGTTGATGATCACAAGTTCTTTATTTTAACAATCGATGAAGATTTTATGAAACAGGCTGTAATTAAAGCTGGTTTTGTCATTGAAAAGTGGAATGCATTGCCTAGCAAAAAAAACTGTCATCTGGTTGATTATGATTCCATAATTTATGTAAGATGTAGCAAGGAAAGAAATGTTTAACCATTTTATTACAAAAAACATGTGAGTGGTCAAACATGTACCATCACATGTTATACTATAGAAGAAATCAAAATGACTTCTATACATAAAATATCACCAGTGATTACCAGTGAAGATGATAAAAGTAGTAATGTTGAACAGATTGTGTACAACTAAAAATAAAACTCACCAATAATGTAATTCAAGATATAAGGTTTTTGCTCTACATCCATTACTGCTGAAATATTTAATTCATAAATTAAAACATATGTTATAATGAATTAATAGCCATGTATTTACATTGTTTGGTTCATTGATATAGTTCATAGAACTCCAATTTTTGGAATATTACACCAGAACCAAATAAAATAAAATTTAAGATATTTTTTGTTTAATTCTTTATTTTTCTCAAAACACATTAGTTGTCAACATATAGGATTGTATAGCGTAATCTGGTTGAGTACCATTTTAACAACATATTAGTGAGTACATTAGGCATCAGAAGAGAAATAAGAGCCGCAATGCGTTGTGCATAAGTATGCTAGTGAAGTGAGGTGTTTTTTTGTTTTTTTTTCATGCCTCCAGAGGGGCATGACCCTGTTTCGTGGTTAGTGCGGTTCTTTCCATCGGGGCAATAGTCATGTCATCCGAGGAGTATGAAGAGCCCTTGCCTGCAAGCGCCATATTGTCCCATGCGGCCGTCTATGAGCTCTGGAATAGGTCTCCATTTTTGCCTGGATTGGATGTTTTTTGAAAAAACTAATAAAATCTGTCAACATT